AGTTAGCTGTGGTTAGCTGTAGTTAGCTGTGGTTAGCTGCAGTTAGCTGTAATTCCGTAGCGTCGTGGGTTCGAGTCCCGGTCACCACCTTCATTCTTCTCCCCCCGTTCCTGTCTCTCTCTACTGCTCTAAATAAAGCCAAACCCCCAAAAAATATATTTACAAAAAAACAAACAGAATCCTGGATCCTGTAGCAGCTCTTTGTTCCATCAGAGTTTTGATTCTACGGACTTCTGATCAGAAGAAACCATCCGTTTGTCTGTTGCTGACTGGTTTGTTGTTGTTGGCTGCAGAACGTGACATCAAGGTGGTCCGTCCGCTGTACAGCGTCGAGGTGACGGAGACGGAAACCGCCAAGTTTGAGACGGAGATTTCAGAGGAGGACGTCCACGGAAACTGGAAACTGAAGGGAGAGGCTCTGCACCAGTCTGCAGTGAGTCTGCTGTCCGGATCATTGATTCAAGGAGATTTAATGAGAATGAACTAAACAAAGGGTTTTCCTGCAGGATATTGAGATTAAAGAAGAAGGAACCCGACACATGCTGATCCTCTACAACGTCAGGATGGACATGGCCGGAGGTGTCGACTTCTCAGCAGCCAACGCCAAATCCAACGCTCAGCTCCGAGTCAAAGGTCCGACGCTCTCCGTTCGTTCAGCAGCTCGTCTCAACTACAAAAACAACATTTTCTGTGTTTTCAGTAGTTTTTATTTTCAGCACAGACGTTTCTCTGTTTCCAACACGATCAGCACCTAAAAATAAGATTTCTGGTTTTACATGAAGTCAGATTACTTCTGGAAATACTGGGGACATTTTTATTTTGTTTATTTTTCTTATGTTAAATATATACATACATAATATGCTTTTGGGAATGTCGACATTTTATTTTCGGGACATCTTACTGATATGTTTTGATATTTTATTATTCTTTCAGATATTTCACAGCATTATGTGACTTTTTTCTAGATTTTTTTAATTTTAATTTTTAATAATAACTTTCAAACCTTCTGCTATCCAGGCCTCTGATCTTGATCTTTTTAACTCCATATGTTGGTTAATAAAGCATTTTATTTCTCACACTTGTTCTTAAGGAAGAACGGAGCATTTTCATCAATAAGCGAACAAATAATTACATCAACCCAGACTCGTAAACTCGTTTTCTGGACAACAGGTCTTCTGGAAACTGTACATGTAAATCAAAGGCAGCAGCAAACTGAGTGTCAGCCAATCAGGTCCTGTGTTATTTTCATCACTTTATCTGAAGGCTGCTCTCTGATTGGAGGAGCAGCGACTCCACAGTCTCACAAACCTCAGAGCATGAAGCAGGACGTCCAGAAGCTCCTCAGGTGGTAACCATGTCTTCTTCTTCTTCAGCTCGGTCCATCAGCCTGATGCAGCCGCTGAAGGACGTGACGGTGACGGCCGGAGAGACGGCGACCTTCGAGTGTGAGCTGTCGTACGAAGGCATCGCTGTGGATTGGTTCCTGGGAGGACAGAAGATGGAGGCCAGCGACCGGGTGAGTCGCTTCACATCCGTCCTTTAGCAGCTTCATTTGGTCTTCAGCTGGAAACAAACTGAAAAATCTTCACATCATAAAATTCAAAACACACAAAACACGCTGTGGATTTAACGTCCTTCAGGGTCGTCGGTAAAAACAGAAGAGACGGTTTTAGAGTGAAACAAGAACCGAAACAAAACCAGAAAGAAAATCTGCATTCATTTTATTTAAACTAAAATTCATTCAACTTATTTCATTTGACTTTTTTTTTGATTCCTTCAAGTTTTAAGTTTGAATTTTCAAACTCCCTTTTGAACAAATAAAACGTTTGAAGGTGAAAAACTGTAAAAACATGAAGTTTATTTTTCCATCAATCAAGAAAAAAAAGGCGTTTTTAAAAGTGCTTTTTTCTGAACTCGCTTTTCTGTGTAAAAATACTAAAACGAATTCTGTCGACACGTGAATAATGTGTACATTTAAACCGAGACACAGTTTTACCCTAAATTCAATTTTTCTTTTTTCCTTCATCCGTTCATGTGGCTCTTATTAAGTTCAGTTTGAGATTTAAAGGGAAACGCACATCATTTCACTTCACAACAACTTCAGAATAAAGTTTTCCATCTGATTTTTCACTTGTGTTCTGAAACAGAAACAAAAACCCAACAACACGCTGAAGGTTTGTTTCTAGGACACAGCTTCATGTGAGTCTGAGCCTCATGTTCACTTTGACTCCGTCAGACGCTTTGCTGCAGCTAAAAATAAGCCCCGATAGGAGGGAAGCTGCTGTTATCTGTAGCAGCCTTATATGTAGACGCTGCAGGACGTAACTGATTAAATACCTGAAACTAACGATCGCACTGCGTCCAGATTCATCCCCAATAAAGGCTTTCACTAAACAGTCAGACCAACACAAATCCCCGGCAGTCACAGTCTGGTCCAGATTGTAGTGGGTTTTTAAGCTGAACTGTA